ACAATATGACTCTAAAGTGATACTTTGTTTCCCTCCCCTCCACCAAAAGAAAAAAAAGAGAAAGAACAAACAAAACAAAAAACAACACCTGACAATTGCAGTGTCAGAAACAACAGCCCTGTTAGTATTGAATGTTGCCAATCCCAATCCTGCTTTATGCTTTACCTGTAGCTCAAAATACTCAATTGTCTATTCCTGTGTGTATGTTAATAATGGACACATTTCTTGGATTTCTTTTTAATATTCAAAAATTTCAAAAAATGCATTCATATATATAAGAAATATTGAGAGGCACAAGACTGAGAGGAAGCCCTTTATCAGATGATAACAATATGGGTCTTATACATATAAATTCTAGTGGAGAGTGCTGCAGAAATGACCTTAAACAAGTGTGTAAACTACCATACAAAGGTACGTATGTTTGTGGACATTATAATTTTTACTACTACCACAAACTTAAAAATTAAGGATTTGTCAGACTAAAGTGACTTCTGAAAATGAAAGTAAACAATCATTCCAAGGCACATCTGACAACTAAGAAAATGGACTTATCACACACACACTGAAGACATGTAGCCCTTTTACCGCCACATATTTGCTGACTACTGACTGAACAGACTCAATGTTAACTGATTATGAATGACGTGGTTAATAATTTATAAAACCTTTGACAATACTCCTATATAATCACTTTTACAACGACGTAATTTCCAATTCGGTTTTACCCACCCCCTATTGTTGTATCAGTTCCATTATTTTCATCTCAAGATGTCATGCTCTTGGTCTTTTTTTCAACTGTAGTGCCCCATGGTTTTCCTGCAAGACTGTTCTCTCATACTGTCTTGGTCCCTTTGCATCTGGCACCCTCATCTTTGACTCCCAACCACCCTGCCTTAACGATGCCGGACTGCTCAAAGATTCAACTTAAGCCTTTATCACTTCCCATGCTTGTTAATACTACACCTATGTGCTCATCTTATTCTCAACTGTCACATCTGAAGTCTGCCTCTGCTGCCTCCTTTCATCATTTCTGCTGCCTCCTTTCTATCCTCCAGACCCGTTCTAAAGATCGTCTCTCTTATTCACGGCAAGATTTCATTTCTTCATTTGTAAAATAAAACAGTTATAACCCTCATAACGTTGAACAGCAAAATGCTTTTAAGACTGTAAAACACTGTGGAACTTACAAGCTTATTCTTGCCGCTGTGCGTCTTCAATCCTTTTCCCACATGGCCCTTTCTCCATTAGTCACTCCTCCGCTAATCTGGCTACAGCCCGCTCCGCGAACCCTATCCCGACCTTCCAATCAGTCACCATGTTTACTTTCCACAGGCCCCCGCCCCTCCTTCCCCTATGCCCATGCAATCCCGCTCACGGTCCCCAGGATTCTCTTACATTTTAAGTTGTACGTTGATGTCCAGGTCACAACTATAGATGTAGTGAAACTTCTCCGCTTCACCCATGGCACCCTGGGCAAAGACACCACTTACAGCTAGAAACTAACCCCTGGAAAGACCCCAGAAGTGAACCAGCTGAGCCCCACAACGCACGCGCTTCCTGTTCCTCCCCTCAGCCCACAAGCGGCCAATCCCTGTCCGGAGCGCAACCTGACTCTACGGAAATCCCCGCCCTAGATTCCCTTATGCGCATGTGCTAACGTGTCCGCCATCTTGCTTAAGGGTAAGTAGGATTCCGGAAATGCAGCCTGTCGGCTTCCATTCCAGTTTTCCGGTTTCCGCTGAACAAACTTTTTTTTCTTTTTGGAAATAGAGGCGTTATTATTTGCGCTTCAGCTGCATCTAAAATCAATCCCAGGGTGGTGCCCGTAGCCCAGTGGGTAGGGCGCCGGCCAAGTACACCGAGGCTGGCGGATTCAAACACACCCCCAGCCAGATAAAACAACGACAACTGCAACAAAAAAAATAGCCGGTGTTGTGGCGGGGCGCCTGTAATTTCAGCTCCTTGGGAGGCAGAGGCAAGAGAATCGCTTAAGCCCCAAGAGTTGGAGGTGGAGTTTGCTGTGAGCTGTGATTTTACTGCACTCTACCTAGGGTGATGGCGTGAGGTTTTGTGTCAAAAATAATAATAACAAAATAAAATCAGTGCCAAAGGAAATTAAATTCTTTTGCTGCAGACTAAACAGTTAGGTAACAAGCACAAAATTAGAATTTTGACAGGTTTAAATTCCAATAATCTTTTCAAAACTTGTAGATATGATCACTAATTTACTCTCTCAAGCAAAGATTTTCACTTGCAGGGGTGTCCAGCATTTAGGCTTTTTTGGACCACAAT